CTGCCGAGGAGAGGCTTGAGAAGCCGAGCTCCCCTTCTTAAGAGCCTCTAACTCCCTCTGCAGCTTCTCAAGCTCTTTCTTCAGGCCGACGCTGTCCTTAATTGCGTCCATCTTCTCCTTTTGTAGCGTTTCCAGCTTAGCTCTTAGCGCCTCCACTTCTTGGGTCTTTTCCTTTATTATTTTGTCCTTCTCAAGAGACTCTTTTCTAACCTCTTCTAACTGTGCAGTTTTCGCCTTGAGGTCCTCTTCCCGCTTCCTTAACTCAGCAGCGATATCGGCGGAAACAGGACCACCAGCCTGCAACTTGGCGATTTCAGCTTTCTGTTCCTTTGATGGATACCGCAGCGGCTGTGTAGGCTCTTCGCTGTTCAGGCTTTCCCGTGGCACGTCTGCTGGTGGAGGCTCAGTTTCAAGCAGATGCTCCGTTTGAGACTGCGTTTTGGCGCCGGTAGAAACTAATTTCTCTTCTAATATTCGCACCCTGTCCCGAAGCTCGTCGCGCTCCTTCAACACCGTCTGGAGGTCTCCAGAGGCCCGCAGAGTTTCCATGTCACGTTCTTCTAATGCATTTCCGCTCCCAGGCTCTGCACGTTTTTGCGCCCTGGTCTGCAGTTCGGTCAGCTTCCTCTGTAGTTCCTCCATCTCCTTCTGAAGAATCTCATGCGCCTTCCGCGCTTCTTCGCCAGCAAGAACCTCCCTCCGCATCCGCTCAATCTCAATCTCGAGCTTTTTTGCAGCTTCAGCCTTTGATTTGAATGTTCTCACCTCTGCCTCGAGTTGTGCTACCCTCAGCTGCACTGACTCTGACTGAATTCCCTCCGGCACCAATACGGGCTCCACTGAAGGCGCCTTCTTCGGTGGTGCGGGGACCTTCGTGTCCTCAGGTAACCTCTTGGGACCTCCCACCGACAAAGCCTTTACCTCCTTTGTGGTAGCAACAGGGCCTTCAGCTTTAACGGCATGGACCCCGCCAGTGGACGCTGCCGCGCCTTCTGTATGTTCTTCTGCTCCCCCTGAGACAGCGAAATCATGAGAAAGCGGTATGTCTACGGAAGAGTGGGGCATTGCAGGGGATGCCTTGCCCACCGAATGCCCTAGCTTCTTGGGCAACGCAGATTCAGCCTTTCCTTTAGACGATATATGAAGCCCCTGTGGAGACGATGCCACCGGGGGGTCTTTAGCAGGGATTTCCTCGGGCAGCAATGCCCCAGAAGTCGCCTCTAAGCCACCGGCCTTCGCATCCGCAGCCTCTGCAGCAGGTTCGGGCGCAGATGCAGTGCTCTCTGATGAAGGCGCCGGAGGCGAAATTGCCGCGTTCTTGCTTTGCAACCCGCCAGCAAGCTTTTTCGTTACTGCATGGCTCACATGCTTCGGCAATAAAGTACCAGTCACAGCACCTGGAAGTGCATTCTTTGTTTGGGATGCCTCAGGTCCTGTCTTGGCTACCTTCGGAGGCAACGCCTGAGGTTTCACCTCTGCAGTGAGGCGTTCTAAGGTTTTTGGCACAATCTGCTCTGTTGCCTCATCGTCAATGGAAGTGCCTTGGTCATTAGTTGTAACAGATAGCGTCTTCCGAGGCTTCGACATAGGCAATGGCGGTTTTTTGGTATGTGGCACAGGCAAACGCTCGGTGGAAGATGTCATATTTGCGGTAGTCTTTGGCTCCTCCCGTTCATCTACATAGTTCTGTGCCACGGTGCGTGGGGCCGCAAGTTCTTCCTCAACGGCTATCACCTGCCTGCTCAAACTTTCTCGATCCTTAGTTACCTCAACAATTCCATCAGCCATTGGTGCTTCGTGGCTGCTGCTCGCCCGAGCGGTGATTGCCGGAAGTGCCTTCAACTCCCCAATCTGCTTTTTCAACAGTGCATTCTCCTTTCGAAGTTTGTCGGCCTCCTCCGTGAGCGCTGCGTTTTCATCCTTGAGTTTCTGAAGGGCGAGAAGCTGTTGCCTCAGCGTGATAACTTCCTGCTGAAGACTGTCATGTTTAGCCCGCGCCTGCGCAGTTGCAGCTGCAGGTTCTTCACCGGCTGTTGAGACTTCTTGTGCTGGTGCTTTCCTTAGGGTAGTCGAGGAATGAGAACCATCTTTGCACGAGAGAGGCATTTTGGTTGCAGGAGCAGCCTCCTCCTGACTTTCAGAACTAGATGAGGGCGCCTTCTGAGCACCTACTATGCTCAACAGCTCCTGCTCCAGTGCCTTTACTTTTTCTGACAAGCTGTCGCGTTGCTTAACTACCTCTGCGTAGTTTCCAGAGGAGGCTGGAGGGGCGGAGCCAGGTAACTCAACACGGTCGTTCCCTTCACTGGGGGGTCCTGGACGCTTTGAAGTGCCTGCAGCTGCCTTAAGCCTAGCCTGTAAATCCTCGTTCTCCCTCTGCAACGCTTCATTAGTCGCTTTCAACTCCTCTCCTGCCGCGACCTGCTTGCGCAAGTTAGCCATTTCTCTCTCTAGCCTCTCTTTCGCCTCTTTGGAAAATATCTCCTCAGGCAGCACTGCAAACTCCACTGGAGGAGCCTTTTTCGGAGGAGCTGGGACCTTAGTCGCCTCGGTAGGCCTCTTGGTTACTCCGACCGAGGAAATCTTTGCTTCCTTTACAGAGGCAACAGGTCCCTTAGCTAGAGCGGCACTGGCCGTAGTCGCGCAAGTTGCTGGTCCTTCTGTAGTTTCATTGGCTTTCCCTGAAACAACTGAATCTGCAGACAGTGCGCTGGGTACCGATGACTGCAGCGTTCCAGGCAACTTCTTACCCACAACTCGTCCCAGCTGCATAGCAGGCACAGCCTCAGCCTCCACCACCGCTTGTTCTTCAACAAGAGTAGTGGAACCCTGCAGTGAAGGCGCCGATAGCGTGGCATTCATGACCTTCATTGGCAACGTCTTCAGCAGCTCCTTGCCCTCTGAGAGCCCTACAGTCTTTGACGAGGCACCCTCGACTTCACTGTCTGCGCGGTGCTGGCTTTGACGCCGTGTCGATGTGTCCTGTGAAGGCTTTGCAACGGATGCCTTCACTGGTTTCGATGGCAATACACTCGGCTGCTTCCTTGAAGCTGGGGGCCCTGAACTTTTTAATGGCGAAGCTTCATCACCAGGTTGAGACACAAGAACAGTAGACTCACCTCTGCCTACAGTTTCCGCGGGGTGCGCCTCAGTTGGTATCTTCGGCTCTCCGTTAGGCAGCGTCTTCCCACCCATGGGAACCACTAATTTCTTTGGCAGCGCAGTCTCGGCCGCATACTTCTTTTCAGGAGGGACAGTATCTGCACTGGATGGAGCGGCCGCCGGCATGCCTTCAGACAGCCCCGCGGGGAAGACCCCGATTCTCGCTTTGGTGGGACTAAGTTCCGAGACTCTGGATGGCCGGTTTGCACCCACCTCTTCTGAAGGAATGTAAGTGTCTGAATTAAGTGCTGCGTCAGCGAAAGAGAGACCCAAGCTACGCTTCGGCACCGGCGCTTGTAGCTTGTCCGACTGTGAAGACTTCACGGTCTCTGAGGATGACTTGGAAGGTGAGATGCATTTTGATTCCGATGACTCCTGAGTGGCGCCTTCCACGTTGCTGTTGAAGGCAGCGAGTTGTTCCTCAAGTAACCTAACCCTTGTTTTCAAAATGTCCCGCTCTTCAGATACTTTGTCAGAGGTTGGCGCTGGCCCAACGCTGCCATTTGTTTCAAGGGCCTTGCACGATGCCATCTTGAAGCCAGCAACCTGAATTCTTAAAGACTCGTTTTCTTTTTGCAAGTTCACCACCTGTTCTTCTAGATCTATGATTCTTGCATTCAGACTATCTCGCTCGTTGATCAGTGCCGCATTATCACTAACAGCTGTCTCAGTTTTGGGCTCAATCATTCCATTGGCAGCAATTTTGCTCGGCCCTACTTTACTTCTGAGGCGCTGGGTTTCGCTTTGAAGATTTTCGTACGCCTTCTTGAGTTCCTCGCCCGCCAACAGTTTTGCGTTTAAAGCGGCAACCGTCTTCTCCAGCTGCGCTACCTCTGCTGCTTTAGCGTGAAGGCGTTTGATGTCCATCTCTAGCCTTAACGCCATGGCCTTGTAGCTGTCTCGCTCCGAGGTAAGCGTAGATATATCAGAAGCCGTAGGGGAGCCGATACTCTGTGGTGATACTGCTCTTACAAGCCCCTCGCCAGCCTTCGCATTCCTTGCAGCCAGCTTGGAGCTCAATTCTGCACACTGCTGGTGCATATCTTCAACTTCCTTCCTCAGTTGTGTCGCCTCCTGAGCGGAGCATTTCATCGCCTCAATCTCTTGGGCGTGCTTAGCTTGCAACTGTTCAATGGCCTCTGCGTGGTGTGCCGACAAGGTACTCAGCTTGGTCTCAGCAGCAAGCAGCGCCTCTGCCTTCTCCTTCTCGAGACTGTTTTTCTCTGATGCGGCAGCATCAAGAGCACTCTGGAGCTCTTCCAAGTGTCCTCTAAGTTTACTGCATTCTTCTTCGGCAGCTTCTGCCCTCTTCTGACTCTCAATGAGAGCCGCGCTGAGTCTCTGCTCCCCACCTGTCGCACTGTGTGACGCGCTGTTGCAGGTTGACGGGGCCTCCCCGACAACCCTCTTGAGCTCCTTTAGCTCATTTTGAGCAGCAGAAAGGCGTTGCTCCGCTGCGATCGCGCGTTCCTCCGCCAGCAAGGCCTGCGTCTGGGCATGCCGCGCTTCACTCACTGCTTCAGCTTCTCTCAGCTCTGCAGCCATTAACCGCGCCTCCCTTATCTTCTTGTCGCTCCCGTCTTCAGAGCATGTCTCCGCATCTCCCTCTGAGTCCGCAACTGCATAGGCCCTTGCCAAGTCCTTGGTGAATTCTGGCACTACGCTCCCCTTCTCCATAGCGCTTGCTGTTGCCATTCTCGCGCGCCAGAGCGCCACGAGGGCTGGTGCATCTTTGGCGTGTATCATTCTGGTGTGGCTGGTAAGCCATGCATACGCGTCAGCGAAGGTGCGGCTCTTCAACTCCAACTCTACAATGACCTGTCGGTCTCTTTCTGCCTGCTTCTGCAATCTCCTGTTGCTCTCTAGAGCCTCAGCGCGCTCTTTCTGAGCCTTTGCCAGCTCTGAACTCTGCAAAACTCGCGCATTCGAACTTACGAAACTCTGTAAGTAGGAATTTTCCTCCATAATCCTTCGCATCAGACTTGCTGCCTCCTGTTCGTGCGCTATTTGCCTGGGCTGTTGCTTCTCCTGCTGCACGTTCTGGCGAGTCCCATTAGCCTTCTGCTGGGCTTGTGCTTTTAGCCACTGATTTTCGCTGAACAAGCGAGAAGTCAGCAGCCGCAGGTGGTTCAACAGTGGCACAGCGTCTGATGACTTGACAATGGAATCAAGAGAGGCGGCCAGCCACTCCCCTTTAACTGAATTTCCGTCAATTTTTCGCCAAGTCTGTGCATTTTGCAACGGAAGCGCAGTTGATGGGCCCCTCCGCCCCTCAACACGCGGCCGACTCTGAGGACCCGGCTGGCCCCCGTTCAAGGATGGAATGCGCACAGTGCGTCGCCCCCGCCCCACTGTCTGCTCCTGGGGGACCGACGTACTGCGGTCTTGTCGCTGCATCTCCTTGAGGAAATAGGGCAAGATGGAAGTAGCATCCACAGCCCCAAGGGCAGCGTCAGGCTGCCCCCCGGGGACCCCATCTCCACTTTGCGCCTCCATAGGAACGCATGTGGAGATACAGAGAATACGTCATACCCCTAAGATGTACAGGTTCCCCTAGTAAACCATTGTAAAGTCGCGGAGAGCCGTGCAGGGCATGATCCCTGCATTTCAAGCGGTAAAGGTCCAAAAACAAACGTGGCTAGCGCACAAAATGCATGTATTCGAACGGGAATCACGAGCTTTTCTAAAGCAAACCACAAGGGTACAAGCAATGTGCAACTCAGACCCTCACGGGTATAGGCGCTGCGTCCTACTGCAAGTCCAGTGGCAATGACAGTGTCGGGCAAATCAATGCAATAGTTGTTAAGTTGATATAATACAAAGAGTACCTTCAGCGTGAAAAACAAAATACTGCACAATTTATGAACGGGAACTGATGGCAAGGGAACTCATTTTGAGCATCGATGCTGCAGCAGTTACAGCTGCGCTACATTAAGAGCCGCCTACTGAGTCGAACCTTTTGCTATACGGACTACAATTAACCGTTTGCGCATGTGAAGCACAAAATTTCCACATGTTATTATGAAGCACTGGTAATTCACCATGGCGCAGAATCGCAGAACAGCAAATGGCAATAGAGCTGCTAATGCCCAGGGCCCGCATGAACACCTGTGCAGTTCCGTACTCTGCTAGCATGCTTTCTTAGCAGTTTAATCACCCTCTCCTATGAACGTTTATAACTAATCAGATTTTCTCGTTTCTTTTCAGTGCATATTTTTGCCACTGCTGAACCCGGTAGTCGCCCTTCTGGCCGTCGGAAGGAGGGGGTGTCCTGTCTGCTGCATGGCATACAGGAGTCAAGCAGCAAAGTAAAAAAGTGAAACACGCCGTATACAAGAGGCGAAGGCTTAGCCGGTGGCTGCTAACTGGGAGCACTTGAATGCGCACTTCACGCAACATCGGGTAGACCGAAGGGGATGGTGCACTGGAAAAACACTGCGCGTCTGCACCTATCTGGCAGCTGGAAATTCCACACACGTCACAGGCAGCACGAATGAGGGCCTTTCAGAGCTGCTCCATCAGAAATGTCACGCCTATGTCTATGCTGCAGCAAGCTACTAGTCGACGAAACTGTTAAACATTTTCGCCAATAATGGAAGGTCAGACTGAAGCCTTCAGCAAAGAGCTGTACGATGCATTGCGCAAAGCTCTGTCTGAATGCATCAAGCAGAGGCCAGTGGACCCATGCAAGTTCATAGCGGGTACGGCTTTGCAGATGCGGTCTAGAGCATAATTTTCTGCTTGGGAAAGTGGTGCAATAAGAGACAGTAGCTAGCTCTCCTTCGGAGGGGTCGAGGTTGTCACCAGACTTCGTCCTTACGTAGGTGGTTAGAGTGTATATTTTGACAGTTGAGAAAGGACCTTTCTAGAGGGGGTTCCAGAGGGATCTTCTGTCGCCTCGGTGCTGTGGAGTTGTTCGTCAGAGGTCCTGCAGCACGACAGCCATTACTCAAGGCAGTAAGGCATTCCACAGGGGAGCTACCTACTTAGTCCCAAATATCGAGTTTCTCTACCCCCTGAAGTCTCCGTGTGGCGGCAGTATAAGCTTAGTTAACAGCGAACATTTAAAGGAGGGCGAGCTCCCGAGATATTTCAAGAGCAGACAATAAAGTAGCTCCTGAGCCACTTCTGTGCGAATAGGGAGTACCGCCGGATGTTGGATCACGTTAAGGGGCAGTGTGGAACTAAGTCGCCTACTTGAGCGGGAGGATGGCTCTACTTTTCTTCAGCGCATTTCGTAAGTAACCAATATACAGGCTGAAGCACTGGTGAATATACCTGCTTTGTCGGAATTCAGCAGAAAAAGTACAGCCGTGCTTTTGCTTGTGTGATCTGTCACATTTTCACTTCGACTGCAGCTGTAAATCGTCCCTGCTCCGTGTGAGCATTGACGTCAGCGCCGAACTAAGGCTTTTAGCTTTGAATAAACCGGTTCTATGCCTTCAAAGTTGCTCTGCTCTGCATTGACGCCTGTGCAACGAGAGAAACGCACCTCAGCTGAGCTCCAATTTTCTTTCAACTTTCTCGGGCTCACAGCAAGCGTTACTTCGAGTCACATGGCTGGCCAAACTCAATGACAAAATAAGCTGTTTCTAGCTTTCTTATTGATGAGGATTTAGAAGAAGCAGAAATCAGTACTATACTCACTCATTATATCAACGGAAGAACGCATGTTAGAGAGAAACAGGTAGCAGAGTGAACGAAGAAGCCTACACTACGCTTCATGTACTTCGGGGGGAGCGAGATGTTTAAATTCGGGGAAAGAATTCACGCAGGTAAATCAGGAACGGGTGACGACGTACACTCAGCTATGCACCACCAAGCTCCTCTCACAATCGCACTGTGAACCTTCATATGTCAGCAAAACATTGATGTTTGATTTGGAAGAACCACAGAGATAATCTGCGCCTCTGAATCACGTGTCTCAACGTGTCTCAAGCAGCTATTTGCAGAGAACAGGAAAAATATCTGCAGGGGATACACTTTAGCTCTTTTTTAAGGCTTTACAAGGGCTGTCAGCGAATTTTTCAGCGGCAACTTCTGTGCCGCGTCTTCCTGAAGTCACCCTGCTTTCCGTTTTGACGAATGTTGTTCCTCCTTCGCTGCTCACAGCTTCCCCTGTGGCAGTCTTCTCGCTGAGCGCAGAAACTTACCTTGCTACCACTGGCAACCGAAAGTGGAGTTAACCCAAGGCAACATCCGTAATCTTTTCGTCAGGAGATGATTTGATGGGATATGTACTCTGGCATAAGCTCCTCAGACGGCTTTACTAAATGTTGAGTTGCCTCACTCGTTCCGTGTAAGCCTGTAACTGGGCTAGCCGGAAAGATTAATGCCCTTGTACGGTGGGGATTCCAGCTCCAACCTTGTATTTGTATGAACAACCTTGTATTTGTATAAAGCTTGATGTGCCTTCTCTCCGGCGTGTTGCGCCTATGAGCGTCGAAAGTTCCGGTGCAGCTCATTCCTGTTGGCGGCTGGTTCCTTATATCTTTGTGCTTTTGTCGTCTACTGCTCAGTGTAGCTGGTGGTCAGGCCCAGCGGAATTAACTCTCCTACACTTATCTCTCACTCTATGCTAAGCTTTAGGCTAGCTAGTACTTCAGAAGCCTATCCGTTTCCAACAATGCGCACCAATTGATCGTACTGCCTCCGCGTTCTTTGTTCGATGTTCCAGCTTACGCCCACTTTTGTTCTTTTGATGTTTTATTCTTAATTAAAAATGTTCCTGCGCCTCCAGAAAGAGATGATGCAGTTTCTCTAGCCTGATGTATGTATTTTACGGCAATGCATTTTATTGATGCTGGTGATACTGCAGCTAGAAGTGGCTTAGCCGGAAGAGCAAAAGCATTCCGAGGGTCAAGTGAACAAGTCTGTTGAGTTCAGAAGCATGAAAATAGCCTTCGCGCAGAGCTTAGCTTGAGGATTCCTAATGTGAAGGAAGCCACACCCCCATGAATTTTCTCATCAGGCCGTTTCATAGCCAGAATTGGCAAAAAGGACATCTGAGAGAGTAGCGAGGGGAGCTGTGCATGTATCTAGCTACAGGAAGAAGCTGCAAGAGAAGAATTAGACAAACAGCAGCTAATAATCTGGCGTAAGGGTGGGAAAATGGGTTGCACTTGGGATGGGAAGCACCCGCGCAGTTTCTCTGAGTTTTCGATACAAGCGCCAGAATTGCTGCCAAGTGCTATGAATGAGGAATTTTTCTGGTATATCAGAGCATAGACACAATGCTTAGGGCTGGCATGCGTGGTTTGAAACCCAAGCAAACATGCGCATAAGAAGTATTCTGCGCTATTGGTGCACAAACGATTGTCGCTCATGGTGCATTGAACCCGTCAGTCCCCTAAATCCTCCGACGTCAACTTTGGCCCTCCGCCCTTCCTAAGCATCTACGGGTACAATGCAATCACAGATGTATTGGGGCCGTGTCTTTCATAAATTGATTCTCTGTATTGGACTGTTGCTCATCGTTTCGGCGCTGAGCACTGAATTTGAGTATGTCCCAGCTAAAGGCCCATGGACGCTAGTGCTTGTCTTGCACCTTCTATTTGAGCCATAAGCCCTTGGAGCCGAGGGCAAGCTGCTGTTCATGCAATGGCTTCATCTTTCCGTGTACTTTTTGGCGTTCCGATGCACTCAGATAGGCCCTGGCACACCATGAAGGTTTAGATGTCGATTCGTATTACAGGCAGTCACGAACTCTGTCCAGCATACAAAGAGGTACGTATGCCATCCCTTACTGCAGAGCAGTAGCTCTGTAACACCCCTCAAGGATGCACAACGGGCATTTGTTAAACAGTGTAGAGGGCTCCGCAGGCTGCCGTTCTAGACTGGTGCCATATCCATTCGAGCAGAGAGTTTGATACTGTATACCTCAGACTACAGAATCAAAAATTTATTTAGAAAGTGTTGCATGAAAGGGGTGCGCTTGGTACATCGTAGGCTTGGGCGTTTTTTCGAGCCTTTTGCCGAAAGTAAGACAGCTGCACAATAAAATACCTCCACGATGAATTAAGTAGGCGGAACAGACAGGAGCAAACGGAAAGGCCGGATTTAACTAGTGCAATGAGAACTTTGGAAGCAACCGCTTTGAAACTCATTTTGCACACCGGCATCTTGGAGACTGCTGAGAGACTGAGAAGGGCTAAAGCGATGCCACCAACTGCGCACACTTCCTAAAAACTACATTCTCAGTGAGCTATCAACATAAATTAGCAAGAATCCTCTGATATTATGGACAAATTAGCGTTGAACAACCACCAAGTGATGCTGTAGTTGAGCGATCTAGCGATCAGTTCAGTGGCTTGCTCTCCAGAATACCGGACCCATAATGCCCAGTAACATTGCAAATGGAACTAAAAATGAAAATTTATATTTTTAGTCTATCTAACAGGCTAGTTCCTTGTCGACGCGAATCACTTCTTGGGTCAACGGAACTACAACCGATGGCTGCCGACTGTCGGGGGCCGCCGCTTAAGGGCGCCGCTGCCTGCAGCTCTGAAAGTCGTCATAGCTCGCAGCGCAGATCGCCCTCTACCTTCTTCTAGTGTCCCTGTTTGAGAAACACTTAAAAAGTAAACTCTCAGGAGTTATTTGCGTTGGTGATTGAAACTTCTCCATCTGCAAAATCTACAGTTAGCCCTCGGCGGCCCGTTTGCGCTGTCGGCTGCGAGTCTACTGTCCAGCGACACCTGTCGATACGGCCATTTCGCTGCATGGACAGTGTCAGCAAACCATAAGTTTCAGGGAGAGAGCATCTCCCTTTTTTCTTAAACCTCTCGGACCGTTTTTGTTAGTCTTTGTGTGCTGGCGACGAAGGCTGACACAATGGCCTCACTCCGCGATGTGCGACTGCCGACTTGGCAAGAACTTCAACGCTACGTCAGAGACCCCGAGATTCTGACGTCGGAAATCTTGTTCCTGATTTTGACGTTATCAAACATTTTTGTGGTTTACCGTTTGTTCCTCGATGTCGTCCCATTTCCAGTCTTCGTCACTTGGTGGCAGCTGGCCCAAGGCCTGCTGATGGCTTGGTGCCTGGGCGAGGTTGGACAGGAATATCCAAAGCTTGCTTATTTCCCACGAGTTGAAATAGACAAAAGGCTTCTCAGGAGATTGTTTGTACCGACGATTGTCAACGCACTCATGCTCGTACTCGCGAACGTCCTCCTGTACCGAGTGCAGTGTATTGCAACTCTCCCCGTCGTAGTTGCCTTCGCTGTTGTCCTTCACCATGTTACCCGTTTCGTGGGTTGCGGAGAAGAATACATGCCTATGCGCTGGCAAGCCATTGGTCTGCTGTTTACAGCGTTTCTTCTAGGCATCACGGACTCAAAGACAGTCGGCTCGGAAGTGCTGCCTTGGGCTTTGCTTTATGCTATTTTTTCTGCCGCCTTCCGCGCAGCGTTCCTCCAGAAAGTCATGCACGAAGTTGAAGGCAAAGGGAACCTCTTGCACAACCACCAGCATCTTATCTCTGTCATCATTCTTCCCATCTTGATGATAATCTGCGGGGAAGGCTCAGTACTTAGTGCTATGCCTATGAACTTCGGATCGCTCTACACCTGGCAGACTTGGGGATGCCTTTTCACTGTAGGAGCACTCCCGTTTCTGAAGAACATTGTGTCGAATCGTCTCATTCGCAGAACTGGCCAAGGCCCATGGCGCTTTCTGGAGGTTTTGTCTATTTTCTTTGTTTTCATCATTGGCATCACTTTTGGCAGCCCCGGATGGCAAGGCTACATAGCCATAATGTTAGTTATTGCAGGGCGCGCTCTTGGGGCTTGTGACGTTCTCCTAAATGCTGCTGAAGCGGAGCAAAATGAAATGCGGCCAAGCGGAGCAACACGCCACACAGGAGATACAGAGGGAGGCGAGCTAGAACGTGGCTCAAACTCTAAGCAGTACCTTCAGTCCATCGAGGAGGATAGCGGCGAAGTGAGTCTAAACTAACACGTATGCCATAAACACAGTGGGAGATGTATAGGAAGTTCCACACTCAGTGCAAGCGCTTAGCCCATGTCTTACTTCTGGCTAACGTGTGTATGCTTGGCTGCCTTCCAGGCCTACGGGGAGCTCGCTGAAGGCGAAGAAAATGAAATGTGATAACTCATACTGTCTTTCAAAGTGCTTTAGTTCAATCGGCGGCAGTGAAACCTGCTGGTTGAAGCACTGCCGAGATTTAGATACTGTGGGTGGCATTACCATAGGGTTATCTGCCCACTGGTGCAGACGCCCGCTTCTTGCCATGCTTGTGTCCAGGCTTACTTTTATTAATTCGTAGTGACTACAATGCGAACAATAACGAGATCTATTAGTTCGCAAGTCAACGATTTACTGTGGCAAGCCAGCCCCACCAAAAAACCTCATAGTGCTACCTCTTCTATTAGTGGTTTGCATTTGGATAAAGAGCTCAATAACCAGCGTGCGCACCTTTCTTTGGCTAGCACGTCCTGCTAAAATCTCTTATTTAATTTCAAACAGAATAAGTGCAAGTAGCTACAAGAGGGAATTGCAGAAGGAACCCATAAGAGGAACCCTCAAGCAGTTTGCTTGTAACGTTGTGCGACTCTGCGGATTGCTTCCTCAAGCATAAAACGTCCTTAAAGGACGTCTGGCTGCAAAAAGAAGCCGTGCCACATGGCATTCAAAACTGGCCACAACTGACGCGTTTGTGATAACCTACATTCACATTTGTCCTTACGGACTTGACACCTGTGACACAACAGCCCTGCTAAACGGGTTTTGCTGTGCAGCAAAACAAGGCCAAAAGCGGCAACTGAGCTTGTCACGCGCAGAGCTGCTGAATGTTAACACCTGAAGGAGTGGTGTGCAAGAATTCTGCGCGAACGCTTTCGTAAGCTTCGAAAGGTGGGGCAGACATGGAATGAGATGCGCTCCATGTTCCGCGCGTCGAGTCAAGAGCCCCAGTAGCACCCGGGTACCCAAGCATCAGCATATCCCCTAGGATTTGACTTCGAATATCACTTTAGGCCGTAGACGCCCAGGAAACCATTTTTGCTCAGATGGGCGCCCTAGAGAGTGCTGGATGTAGCGGACACCCTAAGAAATGCATTCGTAAGTAGGAACTGCAAAACTTCGCGGTGTTAATCTAGGATCAAAGCAAGGGAAGCACTTAAGGCGTGAGGCGTACAGAAAACCCGGCCCTACTTCGCATCGGGGCGGAACGAAACGAGGGAAAACGATATTAAACATTTGCAGGAACTAGGGGGGCAAGGCGTGCGTCCTAAGGCTCGCACCTCTATTTTGTGGTCGATATTGACGTGCGAATGCCCAAAGACATGAAGCGAGCCGTCCGCCTGTCTCAGCTGCTCGTCAATGCGGCTTGACCCCATCACATATGCGAGTGCACTGGGTTTCAATGGATAGAGAGTCGCCAGTTCAGCACGAGGCAGAAAGTGAGAAAAAGTAATAACAACTGGTTGGTCATCGCAACATGAATATTCATGCATGCGGAGTTTTTCTGGGGAACTGCTGGCTTCCATTTCAGAATTAACTGCATGCAAACTCTTGGCGCTTTCCGAAGAAACTTTCTGACCCACCTGTGCCTCGGCGGTAAAATCAACAGCCGCCGTCGCGTCATGCAGATCTGGGAAGGGCGGCTTTCTCGCAACGTTTGGAAAAGTCCGTCCCGAACGTGTGGCATCCATGGTGTGTTTCTGAGTGTTGCGCACAAAACAATCTCGGCGCTCATTTTCGGCTGCGAAAAACTCTGCCAGACTCAGAGGCATTCCCCATGCGTCTGTAAACCGCCGTGGAGCGCAACTGTCCAGTGTCTTACAAGCCGCCTCCCTTGCCTTTTCGACCGGCACCTTTTGGTGGGGAGATTTAGACGAGGCATTCTTTGCCCATCTGGACCCACAGAGGAGCGCTGTCTCCTTGAGACCAGCGTCTGGGTGGGGAAGTGCGACAGTAACAGAAGCAGTAGAGGCACGATGCAGATTTTCAGTCCTGCACTGGTATCGTCTACTTTTTCCAAGACACATTCCGGTGAACCGTTTGGACAAAACCGCTTCGGGGTCGTGCCTTTCGTTAGTATTGCCCTCCATGCACTGCCGGCTGCCAGACTTTGGGTCATTGTTGCTGAGGGGATGCGGCCAACTGCATGCGCTGTAGTCCATCCAGTTTTCTGCTAGTGAGAGCAGAAGCTTTGAGCTATGCGCCCTGCTGCCCTCGCGTGAAGTGCCTCCTTGATTCGAGGCACGCGGATAGCGCTTGACCTGTCCTGGAGCTGAGCTGAGAGGCGTGCGCGCAATCAGGGCTGCTCGACGAAAATGAGGATCGAGTTCGTCGTACCAGGAAAACAAAGGCACCAGTCGTACCCCCTTGGAAGGGGAAAAAGGCTTGGTGTGGATCCCCAGAGATTCGCAAAGCCGCAAGATGCTGTCGAACTTCTGTAGACTGTCGCCAATCCCTGCACAAACAGGCTTCCAAAGTGGCTTTTGCATCCAAAATAGACATATGCTAAGAAAGTGCTGCTCAACATATCACTTGGCTTGGTAATCACAGGGGAGAGGGCTGAAATTCCCATACACAAATTTCACACTTTAAAGTATGCGCACACAAAATTCTTCCAGCCACAGCTCGTACTCTCCCATAAAAAAGCTTGACTTATTTTGTTTTGACTATGATGCTCCCTTACCCATGTCTCTATCCTTGTGGGTTACCCACAGCTCGTGATTCCCTGGCACGAATGTCACGTGCCCAAAGACTGAGCAGAAGAGCTCCAGTGAGTCTTTGAGGCCTTCCAACTCATGATGCACATCGCCAGCTAAAATAAGAACATCCTTTGTGAAATCTTCTTTTAATGGAGCCGTGGCCCCAGTGACTACTTCCCAAAGATGTTCGATGTTTCCCACCAACGATCCTGCCAGAGGAGGCCAAGTTGGTTGCTCCGCAGCAGCAGCATCGGCTTTGGAGGTGCCTGGACAATTATTTTCGCTTCCCGAAGTGTATGAACTTCCATGGCTTGTGGAGAGGGAAGCTTCTGCAGAGTCGGTGCGCTTCCTGTTCAGCTGGCAAAATTGCTTGACAAGCTCAAAATTGACTTTGCTTTCAAGATGCAGGTCAGACCAGGCAAAAATGCGCATTGTCACCGAACTGCAATGAAGTGGGCTAAAACCGACTGGGGAATTGTCTTTACGGGTACAGTCAAGGTTTTAACGCCACTCAGCCTTCTGGTGCTTTCGGCGGCGCGATTTGTCGTGCTAACCGTCTCGCTCGGGATCCAGTCGGTGGAAAATCTGTAGGCCGTTGAAACCACCACTGAGAAAAGTGTGAAAAGTGAAAAAAGAAGCTTAAGGCACTCGAGTCGCAATGTGGGCTCAGCATGCCATTTCAGCATGCGGTGTCCTTCGGCTGGCAATTTTAGCCGCCTGGAGGTTGAATTGAGTAAATTTTGGAGTAACACCACCACAACCACTAGGTTTGCACGGAGACCTTATCTTGTTTACTCCTGTAAACATTGTGTTTTATTCCTTAGGGAATAGTTGTTGTTTTGCCCCTCAAGACAGCGGCGTCAGGTGAGCGACCGATTTGAAGGCCAGACATACTCAACGTCCACGGGGGAGCTGAAGCAGCTTCAACAGACAATTGCAGACTCTCCTTGGCTGATTTTGAGTAGTCAACATCTCAGAACACTAATGCTTGAATGAAATTGATACATTTGCTAGCTGTGGGCTAGTGTCCGTGATGACCCACTTGGCGACCAGCAGACCTGCCTAGAGGTGACCAGCCCCATCTGTTGCCGGCCAGACTTCCTTCTTTCCCCTCAAGTTATTATTTTTCTTATGAATAAGCGTTGATCACCAGCTTCTGTTGGTGTGGAAATCAGTTGCTACCAAGTACGTTGGCAAGGACGATGAGGGACAGCCAAGTTGCCTGGGTATTCTTTTTTTGCCACGTTAGGACAGTGTCAATTACGCATGCTGCAGGCACTGCTAAAACAGGTTAGTTCCACCAGAACTTCCATTTCCCCGAAGATCAGTGAACAGTAACATACTAGCAAAAATCCGCCTTGCTGCAGATACTCAAGCGGCAAGCCAATGTGACGCATTCTTGAGGCAAAAAGCTACCAACTGCTCGGTCTTACCAATTCAATTGTCTGTATGCAAAAGGCGTGAAGCAAGTCATTGGATGCGAAATATCGTTTCCAAGATGACCTTATGTGCATTCTTCTGTAGTTCCAACTCGCCAGTTCAACGGGAAGGAATAAAGCACTGAATTTTCGGGCTCCAGAGAAGCCACTAAGCGTCAATATTGGCAGCCTTAGTTCAAAGCGTTTGCACTACATTGTAGGCAGCTATTCTTTGCACGAGGGGGTGGTTCCACCAAGTCTTTAACTAGCAGCAAACATGGGGACATCCTGAGAGCGCGATTTCTTCCCATAAGCGCGAAAACACCTTGATTCTGCTTGTGGATGCATCACAGTTTCTTCTATTGACTAGCTACGCCTCCAAGCGAGGCGGGGGGAAGCGCAGTGGGCCGCTTAAGGCGCTGCTTTACAGCTGGCGACTTGGTCTCGTTTGCTGCCTCTTTATCAAGGGGCAGTCCAAGTGTTATGCCCGCATATCAATTGCTAACACACAATTTATGCCCGATTTGTATGCTCCTGAACTTGTTAGCTGTTTTTCAGACCCTTGCTGAATTGACTCTTATTTTCGGTCCAGTCCCAACACCGGGACGCGAAATGAAGCAAAGAAGGATGCTATATAGGAGCTCGCTGAAACTGTGCTCTTCATAGCTGCACACAAAACATCTAGAATGCCAAGCACTTGCCAGCCAACTCAAGGAGTGCACCATGGAGTTCCATCTCCGCGAGCGCAGGTTCACAGAGACACGGTCGAGATTCTGCAAAGGGGTGGCATAAGGAGGAATCAAGCAGAAGGGCCTCCACAAGTGAGCCAAGCCAGGGAAATCGTTAATTTAAAGCGGGCTTGAATAGTTTCGTGGCCTTCTCCTCCATATGATCCTGGAACGATGGATGCCACTGGCATCACAGCCACTCACATACAAAGAAGGCCGGAGCATGAGAAACTTTTTCAGTACATCAGAAAAGCGGCTTACGAAGGTAGGCCTGGACCAGTGCTGCTTGGGGAGAGTTAAGGGAATAGTTACAGGGCGGCACTCCCGTGCACAGACTTACCTGAAGGGTACAAGCGCTGACATGGAGGACTGGGCAGCAGTGGAACGAGTTGCTCCTACGTTTCTGCATTAGTAGCCGTTGTTTCCTCATTCTACACATTTCCGCTAATTGACAGCAAGAATAACACCCCTAATTCTGCAAAGATGACCGGCGAGAGGTCGAGATGCCTGAAGCAGAGCGCGTGGGGTAGTAAGTGACTGGCCCGACACTCGGCCTTTGCAAGGCCGTAACGAAGGAAAGTATCAACAAGCTACAGGGCTGGTAGGAAGCAGCAGTAGAATTCTCAGCAATTTAAGGCCTGTGGGAATCAGCAGAGGAAGAATAGTGACAGTGACGGTGCGTATTGTAGATCTGCCTTGTTGTTAAGAACCACGACGGTGAACCAACTTTAGGCAAGACAGCGTAAGAGACTACACAACCCTCCGACTAGCAGCAAGGAAGTTATGGTCTGTTTTGAGTGCAAGGGCAAGGAAGACTTGGCGAAAGGCTAATCATCACTGGAGCTGAAGCCTTGCGGATCAGCCGGAACCTCCAGGAGGCGCGGAGGTGAGGGCCACTACGCGAGAGATTGTGCCACTCCACCCAAGCCAAGGCAAGAGTGGTAAAAATGGGCCAGCTGCACTAATAGGCCCGAGAAGAAAGGAAAGCAAAGCCCATATTCAATCCCCAAGGCCTACGAGTTACGGGGGACTGGCCTCCACGCGCCAACAACTGGGTGGAGGGCTGCTGCATGCCGTCAAGATGAGGCCGAACTTCACCGTCTTGTCTAGATGGAAGAAGAGAATCCAGAAGCGCTAGCAAGCATGTGCCATAGGTGTAGGGATTACAGCAGTTCTCAAGGTGTACGCTGAAAAGAAAAGCGGAACTTACTACGGGCGGACCTTGGCACCAATATTACTCTCAGCATGCAGGATAACGAACAGAACAAGGCGAGCGAACAGTTTGAGGCATCCGGTAGTACTGAAATGCGAGCCACGCCGCAGCGGTGGCGACAAGAACTGTATACATAATTGGCTGGTAGGAGCTGGAAGCTACTTGCAGCATGGGAATGACGGCTTTTTTTGTCCGTCAGATACATAGCATGTGGAGCGCTTGTGAACAGTGCTGCACCTCACAGTTTCATCAGCCCAATCACTGTTGAGCAGCTAGAATTGAGGCTGCGTCCCCTGTGCAAGGTCTGCAGTTTCACCATTACCAAAGAAGAGCAGCTACATATCAACCGCTTGGCAATGCTGTGTATGTGATGTGATGTCTAGCGGGAGATTTCCTTGTGGGGCCTATACCTTACGATGCTGCTAGGCTGGCTAACGAAACATCAGACAGTCTCTTTATTTTCAGTCTGATGAGCTTCAACTTTTGTGAATGGTGGATGATGCAATGTACCAAATAAAAGGAAACAGAGACAAAGGCAACACAGCGGCAAAGGAGCAGAACAAACAACCACAGCAGGTGCTGGGATGACCCTAGCTGAGCAAGCCTACGTTATGCTGACCCAGCAACTGTACCAGATTACTGCATGAGATGCGGCTACACTCGTTCGCTCCACTCCCAGAGGTTACAAGACACGCCGCAAAGCCAATGCTAGCATGCTTGTAAAAGGGCTACTGTGCGAGGCTCAGGCCAGCACGATACATCTGCGGGGTTCACTATAGGGGACCAGCACCATACCGGCTTCACCAGGAGTGCGAAAGCTATACGCCATTCACTTGTGCGGAGAGAGCCAAGAACAGCTGATGCATGCGTTAACAGGGCACTGCTGTCGGATCCCTGCGGCCTAGTCCCGCATCACATTCCCCGCCGGCCTGCAAGGCGACGCTGACAGGGGAGAGTCATAGTTTCTCACCTCCAGCCTCGACGGCGCATAGCTCGACGAATGGACACTGTCATCTGAGGCGTAGAAGGAACCCCTACATATTCTCTAGTTGTTCAAAAAGCACCTAGCAGCGTTGCCAGATAGTTCACATGCACTGCTGCCACCAACAGTCGTGATGGCTGCACACTAGTTGATCTCACGAGCATAGGTACCCTTTTCTTCTAACCATAAGTTCATGGACGCGCTGTGTGACTCCCTAGGCAGGGCTTAATTTATTATACGACCGCATGAAATTTCGAAACCACGAAGCTCAACAAGGCATATGAGTTACTCCGCCTTGCTTGAGCTGTAGCACGTGGTTGTTTCGTTGCTGCATTTAGACACAAAATCTTGACACTCATCAGGGCCTGTTGATGCAGAATTTTAGAGCTATTCGTAAAGCAATGCTCGCTCTTCCTTTTATACTTCCAAGCAACAGGCACATATACTGACATCTCACAGCATGCAAGAGGAGCAGTTTTCGTACTACAGGCAAGTCAGCCTCCTCAGCCAAGACGTGAACTCCATTCGCCAGAAATATCCAATGTACCATAGAGAGTTTGTCGCCTTCACTTCCCACTAATCCAGTGATCTTACTCTCTGGTACGATTAGGACGCATTCCGGTCATCATACTCACGTATATCTGCAACAACTCATGGCGTCAAAGCCTCTACATGATCATTCTGTTCATTGGTTTGGTTTTCTACAGGAATATCAAGACATCAGAATCACACAGTTAAAAGCCATACATAACGAGGGTGGCGCTGCCTCGACACCTCGGCACCCTGCCCCGCCTGCTCCTTGTGGTACTTCCGTCTTTCTAAGGCCGTAGACACTCCTGAAAGTACACCAGCCTTGTTCGCGCTCGATATTGAAAGAGGAAAAGCGGCCTTAAACACGCGACGAAGTACAGAGCGTTCGCGCAAGCACACGCCTCCGCATACCGTATCATGCCGTTAGCGTGCAACGAGGCTTTGCTGTGTCCACGAAGGAGGCTTCAAGTGCCGGCAACCCTCAATCCACGTTTCTTTAGCATTCACTTTCCCCTGGCTCAACTTTTCAGTCGTCAGCACTGCGACCCCTTCTATGGTCC